ACCCGGTGGCTTAAACTCACGCCAGGCGCAAGTGTGTGTGCGCCCAAGATCCCTAGAGGAGAATGGAGGTGAAGGGATTGTGGCGTGGCCATCCCCCCAGGTGCGTGATTTCTCACTCTCTTTCTGGCAAGCGCACACGCCCTATAACAAAAACCTCTCCCAAAAAAATTACTTTAACTTTCTTTATTTCAGTTTGACCAGAGAGGGACTGAATGAGAGAGAAAGTGAGAAAGCAAGCCACCAGGTCCAGAACTTGAACCACGGTTGGCCATGTGGGAGTTCAGCACCCTTAACCACTACCTGCCAGTCCCTATTTTTTTGTTGTTGTTGTTTTTTAAAAAGATTTTATTGGGGCTTAAAGTGCTGGACTTCTACATGGCCAACCATGGTTCAAGTCCCAGAGCAGGCGGCTTGAAAGTCACGCTGGGCATGTGTGTGTGTGCCAAAAATCCTGAGAGGAGAATGGAGAAGGGAATATGGTGTGGTCATCCCCTCTGGAGGGATGATTTCTCACTTCCTCTGTAGATGTCTGTCTCTCCGGTGAGCACATACTCCCTTTATAGCAAAATTCTCTTTAAAAAAGAAAAGTAAAGGACCAGCAGTTGGCATAATGGCTATGTCGCTATACCCCTGTGTAGTCAACCACGGTTTGAGTCCTGGACCCAGTGGCTTAAACTCACACCGGGCACGTGTGTGTGCATGCCCAATATACTGAGAGGAGAATGGAGAAGGGATTACAGCATGGCCACCCCCCCCCCGCGGGTGATTTCTTGCTTTCTGTTTTTCTGATGAGCACACACACCTTATAGCCAAAACCTCCCCATAAATAGGTAGAGGGACCAGCAGTTAGCATAATGGCTATGTCGCTGGACTCCCATGTAGTCGACCGTGGTTCGAGTCCCAGACCTGGTGGCTTAAATTCACACTGGGTGCGTGTGCGCGCGTGCCCAAGATCCTGAGAGAAGAATGGAGGAGAAGGGATTACAACGTGGCCAACCCTCCTGGGGAGTGATTTCTCACTTTCTATCTGTCTCTCTCTCTCTGGTGAGCACATGTGCCTCATAGCAAAAACCTTAAAAAGAAAGACAAACAAACTATCTTTCATTTTTTAAAACCATTTATTATTTATTTGTGATTTTCAAGCTGCTGGGTCTAGGACTCAAACCATGGTCAGCCATGTGGAAATCTATTGCCTCAACCATTATACCACCTAGCAGCCTAATTTTTATTTTTTAATTTGCCAGAGGGCATATGTACTCACCAGAGAGGGTCAGTGAGAAAGTACCCCATGTGGTGTAGTCAAACCATAGTCCTTTCTCCATCATTCTCATGGGATTTGGGATGTGTACACATGCATGCCCGCGATGTTTTTGAAACTGCCAGTCTGTGACTTGAACTGCATGGCCAGCCCTGTGTGCTCGAGCTCCTTAGCTGTTAGACTATGCGCTGGCCCTGTTGGTGCATTTCAAATTTGAGATTTCCATTTGTCATCGGAGTGGCTATATCTCATCTCTGGGGTTTGAGCTTTACATGGCATCATTGCTGATGCTATTTAAAGTCTTGGGAATCATTGATGTCCGGGGAGTACAGAAAGAACAGGGAGCCATAGTGTGAGCCATAGTGTACTCATTGGGGCAGGCTCTCGGGAAGGCATGTGGCATTAGATCTTTAGATTTGGGATGGAAGAGCCACTGAAGGTGATGCCTTGGAAAAAAGTGATGACCAACCAACTCTAAACCAGTTTACCCCCGAGTCTCCTTGGGAGAGATCTAGGTCAGCCCTGCCTCAAATTCTTTTAAAAAAATTTTTCATTTGTTGTTATTATTATTTTAATTTGACTAGACAGAGATAGAGAGAAAGTAAATGCAAGAAAGCAAGCTGCCAGGTCTGGGGCTTGGACTGCAGCCAGCCATGTTGGAATCCAGTGTCTTTAACCACCACACCACCTGAAATTGTACACACACTCATGTCCATGCACACACACCTGTCCTGTTAAAGCTATTTCCCAAGGTGAGAATCTTAGTTTCTAGACTTGGATGTAGGTCTGCCAGTTAAACAAGGAGTCAGCAAACTTTTATTTTTTTAATTTCTTAAAAGAATTTTTATTTATTATATTTGATCAGAGAAGGAAGGGGGCAGGGAGTGAGAAAGCAAGCTGCCAGGTTTAGGATTCGAACTGCAGTCAGCCGTGTGGGAGTCCAGTGCCCATAACCACCACTCTACCTGCTGGTCCCAGGAGTCAGCAAACTTACTATAAAGGGCCATATGGCAACTATTTTGGGCTTCATGGGCCATAAGGTCTCTGTTGCAACTACTCAGATCTGCTATTCTACGTAAAAGCCATAGACAGTATATAAATGAGTGGGCACGACTGTGTTCTAGTAAAACTATTTGCAAAACGAGGCATCAGGCTAGATTTGGCCAGATTTACAGACCTCTGCCTTAGGCTGTAAATTCTGCTGTTTGTAACAGAGACCCAAAATATGGTGACTTAAACAAGATGGAGGTTTATTTCTGTCTTACATAACAGTATGGAAATAGGCTGGTCTGGTGGCACTGCTCCATGAGGTTGGCCAGAGACCCAGGCTCCCGCTGTCTTGTTGCTCTGCCATCCCATGTGTTGCCCTTGTCCTCATGGTCCAAGATGGCAGGATACCATGTCCAGATTCCAGTTACAAAGGTGGAGGAAGGCATGTTTCTTTCCCAAGCGTGAGGATTCTGCCCAGGAATTTAGCCAGAACTTAGTCACATGGCCACATCTAGTCGCAAGAGAATCTGGGAGATGTAGTCTTTTTTTGGCTACCAGGTGCCTCACTAATAATTAGGAGACTGTGTGTGTGTGTAGGGGGTCTCTACTTCATCCGCCTCACCCGTGGGCTTTAAAAGTGTCCCTCAAATAGAATCTGAATACTTAACGCAGGGCATCAGTCATCTCTCTCTAGAGACAGGGCAGGTACTGTAGGGTGTAAAACTGGCCTGGTGGGAGTCATCTTCGATCTGAGGGTGACTAGCTCTGCTGACAATGTAAGCCCTGGGTTGGGCTTTTGAAGTCAGCTGAAAATAGGATCTTCATGGGAAGTCTTCCCAATGTTGGCCAAATAAAACATGAAACAGAAGGTATCCCTGCTTGATTCCAAACCAGTTTCCCCACAGGGCTGGGCCAGCTTTTCCCTGTGCCCTTATGTCCTCTGGAAATTCCTGCTCTAAAGCCTGAGCTCCCTGTTTCAATATTTCAGTATAGGTGTTTTCTGGTTTTAGGTCCTATTTCTGTTAGCTTAGTCATGCCATTGCACATGTATCAAATAGATTTCATGACTAGAATGCCAGAAGAGATCTTAGGGCATTCAGTACCATCTGAGGCCGTGGCCCCTCCTTGAGTGGGGAAGGCTGGCAGTGGGTGGGAAGAGATAAGTACTCAAAATTGCAACCGTCATATGACCTAGGGTCCAGCTCCCATTTTGCTGCCCTGTCCCCCACACCCCACAGTACTTCATGTCTGGAACTCATCCAGTGGCCTCTGAGGCCAGGAACACCTCACGTTCCCCATCCTCCACCCCCAGCCTCCTGTTTAAGCACATTGGGGCAATTTGCTCTGATAGCCCATAGTGTCCACCTGTGAAGAATTACAGATGATTACACAGTCTTCAGGCTAGTTACTTCACTGGGAATGAGGAAGGTACAAACCATTTTCCCTCACTTTCTTGTTCATGTTTGTGAAACAGAAGAGCTGTCTATTGTCTGACTTCACTGTTTCCCTAAAGGCCCTGTGTGTCCTCCAAAGACTGATGCTCTAAACAAGAATCTTCTGGGTCTTATTTATCAAGATCCCTTTGCCTTCTTGGGAGAAGAAGCAGTCCCTCTAAGGCCTCCAGAAGACCAGCGCCCTACTCATGGGTGGGTCCACCACCCACAGCCCCTATCATGCGAAGGGCTTCAGCTGCACTCAGAGCTCCCCCCGGGCGTGACGAATGTAGTGGTGATGCAGCCCTGCTTCCTGGGCAAAGTCCTGACCACACTCAGTGCAGGTGAAGGGGCCAAGAGGAGCGCAGGCCTCATGCATCTGGCGGTGCCGCCTCAGAGAAGCAGCCTGCCCAAAGATCTTGCCACAGTCAGCACAAGGAAAGGTGGGCTGGGCAGTGCTGGGTGCAACTGGAGGGCAGGGCCTGGTGGCTGGACCGTGGCTGCGCTGGTGGACGATCAGGGCCTTGGAGGAAGGGAAGGAGCGGGCACAGGTGAAGCAGATGAAGAGGGCCCCCTGCAGCTTCTGGGCCACGAAGTCCGCTGGGTGCTCCCGCTTCATGTGACGCTCCTGGAACTTGGAATCTGCGAAGGTGATGAAGCAGCGGGTGCACTGCAGGGCCCCCAGGTGGCCTGAGGGATGTGGGAAGAGGTCGGGGGAGGCCAGCAGGAGTCTCCAGAACCTCTCCCGAGCCCCTAAATCATTACAACAATTAATACTGAGTGCTCCTTATGTTCTGAGCTCTAGCTAGTGCTGAACAGCACTACCGAAGAATTGTTACTCATTGTATAGATAAGCAGACTGAGGTATAAAGAGGTTAGGCAAGTTGCCCACAGTCATGAGGCTAGGCAATGAAATGGTGGAGCCAGGATTAGAACCCAGAGTCTACCTGTCAGACAAGAGTAGAGTGGTGATTAGAGCACAGTCTTTAGAATCAGACTGCCTGGAATCTTGACTCCACCACTTCCTAGGCCATTACAACAGTTTCCTCAGCCGGAAAATGGGGTAATAACAGTTTCTACTCCATTGGGTTGTTGGAAGAGATAAACAAATTAATTTTTACAAGTACTTTGAACAGTGTTCTACAACGGCTTGCAGTTACTACTGCTGAAAGAAAGAAAAGCACCCGAGCGTCTGGAATCTGGCCTAGTACTTACAGCTCAGCTGGGGTGTTCTGTTGAACATAAGCAATTTCATAAGATATCAACAACAGACAGGGCCATGCTATAGCCAGGATGAAACAAGACAAGACCAGGCCATGATGCTGTCTGAACACCGAACATGAATGTTGTCCATGCCACGGAAGTGACCAAACACCCCCATCCTGGCTAATGTAAAAGACTACTGCTGCTTTATTGGTCACAGCCTGAGCCTGGCTTTTTCCCTCCCTCTTCCTGGATGAAATTTATTAAGATAGTCAGATTTGCCCTTTCCTCCTGGCTGTATCCAATCCAAACAAAGTAACTTCCCACAAACCCAAATCCTGTAGGTCCTTTTTAATACTAAGACACCCCACAATTCCCCCATGTTGTGTACTCTTCATTGCAATGAGCAATAAACTACTTGTTCAACTATAGTTTTTTGGTGATCTTTTGCTGGAGGGCATAAACACTACAGCTCTTGTTGCAAATACCTAACCTCTCTCTGGCTCAGTTTCTTTTTATTTATTTATTTATTTAGGAGAGGTTTTTTTTGCTATAGGGCGCATGTACTTGCCAGGAAGACAGAGTCAGAGAGACAGAAAGCAAGAAATCACCCCCCCCTGGGGGGGGGGGGTGGACATCCCTTCTCCATTCTCTGGGGATCTTGAGCACGCACACACATGTGCTCGGCGTGAGTTCAAGCCACTGGGTCCGGGACTTGAACCGCAGTCGACTACATGGGAGTTCAGCAACATAGCCATTATGCGAACTGCTGGTCCCTCTAGCTCAGTTTCTTTATTTTAAAGTGATAATACCAATTCCATAGGGTCTGTTGTTGGGAGAACTGAATAGATAATGTTAAACTCAAGAGCGTATAATAAGCATGCAGTTGGAGTTGTTGCCCTTAAATGTCAAGCTGGCTACCTTCATTATCATCAGGCTTCCCTGTGCAGCTAATCCTCTTAACTGCCCTGAGCGGTGGGTAATGACAGACCCTTGACAGGTAGGGAAACTGAGTCCCAAGTCACAATGAAGGTCTAGGGCAGAGTTGGGACTGGAACCTTGGGGCTTTTCTCACAGTAGAGACTTCCCCAGTCATATTTCTAACCCAAGACTCCTGGAACCCACCCTAGCCCCCTGGAATGTATCTTATGTGGCCACAGCAGGGTGAGTACATCTGAGAGTCCTAAAATGCGGGAGAGGCAGCTCTTGGCAGGGGAGGCTCTGTGGCACCTTGGGCATTGAAATGCTGCAAAGGCCCATTTAACATCAACTCCTGCACCCCACCGTCCAGCCCAGTACTCACAGATGTTGCCTCCTGGACTGCCAGGACTCTTCAGTGAATCCTGCTGCTCCACGGTCTCTTCAGGCTGTGGGTCCTCCATGGTGACTACCACCTCTCTGGTCAAGGAAGAAGCACGTGTGAGTGAAGCTGCTAAGCTGTCATCAGCCTCACAGGGTTTGCTAGTCCTATGACCCCCGACATCGACAGAGGCTCTCCTCGTCAGCCTTTGTCTCTCACACATCTCCGTGGACTCTTATCTGATGAAGCTGTCACCAGAGAAGCTCCAAACCTCCCCAAAGGTTGGGTTTGTGACTCCCCTCATCTTGACATCAACCTCATCCTAGTCTCTCACGTGTCGTGGAACAGGCAGCGCTTCCCACCCTTTACCCGCCTCCTCCTGGGCCGCATCCTGTGACTCTTGTTCACCCAGAGCCCCCGCCTCCCACGCGCGCCTTCAGCCGCTGAGCCCCGTTACTCCCAAGCACTGTCTTCCGCTCCCTCCGCGGCGGGTCGCCCAGGCCTCTGCATTTCTCCATTCAGCCGACGGCCTTTCACTGTGCCTGCCGGTCGCTCGCCACAGCGCCACCACCCGGCGGGAAGCGAGGTAGGGCCCTCGGAGTCTCAGGGTCCCCGAGGTTTCCTTGCCCCTTCGCCTGATGAGCCTCTCCAAACCGAGATCCGGATTGCCATCCGGCAGTAGCAAAGTCGCGCCAACTCTGCCCTCAAAATAACGGGCGGGTCTTTCTTTGCACTGGGGCGCGTCATGATGACGTACCAGCCGCCCGTGCCGTACACGCTTAAGCTTATTGCGCAAGCATGGATAGGCGCTCCCCGCGCGCAGGCGCTTCGGCCCTCATTGTTCCCGGCTCTGGGGCCGGGGAGCCTGCGACTTGGGCCCTTCGGCGCAGGCGCAGCAAAGGGTTATGTCTCCGCAGTCACTCTTCCAAGACACACCCCCTCGTAGAGAGTGACGTCAGCTAGAGCCACCGAGCGCGTCCCGGCGTCCCTAAATCCGGGTGGTCTGGCCTCTTAGGCCTCCGTCCGCGGGACGTCAGGGTCGCGGCTTCTCGGCAGCCCACCC